GAAACATCCTCCCCCCCCACACTATCTTTGGACTATTCTTGAGAATTCCCCCTGTAGAGGGACAGGCCCGACTTAAACCTTGCCGGAATCGATGATGCTCCAGACATGTGCCAGCGCCAGCGCGTGCTGGTCCACCGAAGCCCTGCAACACGACACAGGAGGTGCAATGATGGCCGACACGGGCCGAGCAGAGCAGACACAAATTGGGCTACCACACGTCCTAAGGTTCTTCGGCAGCTGGTAGGGCTTCGGGTCGCGCACAGACAGCCCTGCAAGGTAGCCCTGGTTGGCCTCAACAGGCCCCCCGAGTAGTCTTAGGCGGCCTCAACACCTCAACGCGGAAGCATCGCCGGAGGCGGCGCCAGGGTGTTGAGACCGCCCTGGACTACTCAGGGGGCCTGCTGAGGCCAGCTGAGACTACTGGGGGGGGGCCTGGTGAGGCCAGCCGGGACTTCCTGGGGGTGGCCGTCTGTGCGTAATTCGAGGCCGCAGCATAGACAGCAGAGGTGCGGGAGGAGGAGAGCTCCCAGCGCGGATCTCTAAAAGCGGCTGCCCGGCCTCGGCGATGGCCCGCCTCACTCTCTCGCGTCCTCCGAGTCGTCCGGCGGGGGCGCCTGGCCCGGGCGCACCACGTTCCCCTGCACGACAACGGGGCCACCGAGGAGGAACGGTAGGAGGAGGACTTGGGAAGCAACTCTTCGGAGGTCTGTGCAAGAGCGATTGCGCAAGGGCTCTGAAACACCATTAAGGGGCCATGAGGCCAGAGCAGCCCGGCTTGAGCCAAGGTCGGAGTCTGATCAAATTTGATTCGGCGGAATAAAATGGGAGCAGGGCGAACTAATACGATTTTCGACCATGGATGTACGAGCGCCGACGCTGTCCTTGTTTACCTCCCAGGTTATGTTGCTCCCATCATACTTACGGGCCACATCCCATAAATAATTTCGATCACCCAGACAGTATCGAAACAGTGCCTGCCCGACACGCTGGCGAAGTGTCGAACGAGTATCGTATCCCAGGGCCCGACACGTGAAAACCCGGCAGATTCGGTACTGTCTTGGCGCTCGAACTTCTGTCTGGTAGTCAGGGCTAAAGTAAAGGCCTCCCAGATGGTGTCGGAGTAGATGGGGTCGGAGGAGCGCGCCGCATCGCCGATGCATCGACTACGCATCGGCGATGCATCGGCGGTGCATCGGCGATGCACCGGCGATGCATCATCGACGTCGGCGATGCATCGGCGACGTCGACGTGAAGCAGATCGGGCTCCACATCGAGCCGCATCGGCGATGCATCGGCGAAGCGGCGCCCTCCTCCGACCCCATCCACTCCGACCCCATCTGGGAGGCCTACATACAGCAGGCTGGAACATCATAATTCCGAGGAGCTGCATCCCGAGAGGAGGGAGAGCATGGTCCTTCTCCTCCTCCTCCTCCTCCTCCTCCTCCTCCTCCTCCTCCTCCTCCTCCTCCTCCTTCTCCTTCCGAGGAGTCACAGACCTTCCGATGGCATGGCCCTCTCCCTACATAAAGCAGGCTGGAACATCATAATTCCGAGGAGCTGCATCCCGAGAGGAGGGAGAGCATGGTCCTCCTCCTCCTCCTCCTCCTCCTCCTCCTCCTCCTCCTCCTCCTCCTCCTCCTCGGCGGCCAAGCGGCCTCGACGGCGCTCGCCGCGGCCGCCGCTCGTTGTCCTCCTCCTCCTCCTCCTCCTCCCCCTCCTCCTCCCTCCTCCTCCTCCTCCTCCTCCTCCTCCTCCTCCCTCCTCCTCCTCCCACCCCCCTCCTCTTCCTCCTCCTCCTCCTCCTCCTCCTCCTCCTCCTCCTCCTCCTCTCCTCCTCCTCCTCCTCCTCCTCCTCCTCCTCCTCCTCCTCCCCCCCTCTCCTCCTCCCCTCCTCCTCCTCCTCCTCCTCCTCCTCCTCCTCCTCCTCCTCCTCCTCCTCCTCCTCCTCCCCCCTCCTCCTCCTCCTCCTCCCTCCTCCTCCTCCTCCTCCTCCTCCTCCTCCTCCTCCTCCTCCTCCTCCTCCTCCCGAGGAGCCACAGGCCTTCCGATGGCGTGGCCCTCCCACGACCGAGCGCCCCCCCTGGAGCACCCAGGCGGGGCACGCCCCCCCCCCACGGGCGGGTGTGGGAAAAGCACATCCTGCACAGCAGTCCAACTCCTCCTCCTCCTCCTCCTCCTCCTCCGCCTCCTCCTCCTCCTCCTCCTCCTCCTCCTCCTCCTCCGCCTCCTCCGCCTCCTCCCCCTCCTCCTCCTCCTCCTCCTCCTCCTCCTCCTCCTCCTCCTCCTCCTCCGCCTCTATGTACGTGAGCACGGTCACTACTGGTCGAGACATCCTCCCCAGACTACTGCCTGGCTGTTTTCGATTGCTCCTCCTGTACACCCTGCGACGTGCTCAAGCAATCATGGGTTGAGCATCGCCCAAGGTGTAGGGGGACACGCCCGACCCCACCCTACGAGGGAGGGCCGAGGCCCAAAAGCCCTCGGATGGCACGGTCACTACTGGTCGACTCATCCTCCCCAGACTACTCCAGATTTCGTAATAAAGGGAGGGGGGTCTCATTTCGGGGGGGGGGTCTCTTCCAGTCTATCTTGGGGGGCCTGGGGGGTCTGGGGACGATGTTTTGGAGGGCTCTCCCACGGGGGAGGTCTGAAATGGCTTGTCTTGGAGGGTCCAGACCCCCTCCCTTTTATTATGAAATCTGGACTACTGCTTGGCTGTTTTCGAGTGCTCCTCCTGTACACCCTGCGACATGCTTAAGAAATCATGGGTTAAGAAATTCATAGTCTCAGAACTGGAATCAAAACCCAACGTTTCCATTAAAATCGTAAGACTGACACTGAAACGTTAAGAATCATCGAGACCCTGGCCGAAAACTTAAGTTTTCTTAGGCATCGCCTAAGGTGTAGGGGGGCACGCCCGACCCCACCGTACGAGGGAGGGCCTCGGCCCAGCCCCCTCGCGATGGCGCGGCAGCCTCTCACGACCGCGGTGCCCAAGCCCCGGAGCGCCCTCGGCCCCCCCTCCCCGCCGTGGGCGCCCGCCCCCGCTCGCGGAGCGCGCTCGCTGCTCTCTCCGGCGGCGCGCACAGGGGGGGCGGAGGGGAGGAGGAGGAGGAGGGGGAGGAGGAGGAGGAGGAGGAGGAGGAGGAGGAGGAGGAGGAGGAGGGAGGAGGAGGAGGAGGAGGAGGGAGGAGAGGAGGAGGAGGAGGAAGGGGGGCGGGCTTCTCAGCAGGAGGCTGCTCCTCAGAAGGCGCCGGCCTTACAGCTATAGATGAGGCCCGCGCCTTCTAAGAGGCAGGGGGTGCTTCTGAGAAGCCCTCCCCCCTCCCCCCGCCCCCCTCTGCGCGTGGCTGACCTCTTTCGGCGGCGAGCAAGGGGGGGGGGGGTGAGAAGGAGGATGCAGTGGAGGCCCGTTCACAAGAAACCTGCCACAAGAAACCCAACCCTGAGACCCCAGGACGTCTATTGATTTGTGGTGTGGGAACGTCACGCTTTCCACGGCAAAACCATCGAAACCCAAGAAACTCAGGGCACCCTTGGCATGGGCCTCCACTGTACCTCAGAAGCCATCGCGCCTTCTGAAAGGCTTTCTTAGGGGAACAAAGAAGTGACGTAAACATAAAAACTCGGAGGTCCGCGCGGATTTCTCGGATCTGCGCTGGGGCCCCCCGGCGGCGCCTCCGGCGCCGCTCCTGGCGCGCTCCGCGCGCCAGGGAGGGGGTCCAGCGCCGATCCGAGAAATCCGCGCGGACCTCAGAGCTTTTATGTTCATGCCACTTTTTCTTCCCCTATCTCTGCGTCTTCGGGGGGGGGGGGCCTTCTAATACTTCTCCGAAGGCCGTGGGGGCCTCCGGGCCTTCTGCGCAGGCCCGCCCCTTCTCTCACACGTTTCCCCCCCTGGGCTCGCCGCCGACTCCTGCCCCGGGGGCCCGAGGACGGCCCCCCCGGGGAGGACCACGCCGCGAACACAAGAGGTGTGCCAGCGAGGGCTTCCTCGAGGCGCGGCGGGGGGCCGCAGGCGAGGGTCGGGGGCGAGGAGGCGGGGCCGCCGACGACGGGGTGCTGCCCAGGGTGTGCGCCGCCGCCCGAGAAGCCGTAGTCCTCGAAGACTCTGCTGCCCAGGGTGCTGAAGTACTCCACCTGCCTCGCCTCCTGCGCTGCCGTGCACCAGGGGAAGAAGAACCAGGACGCGCAGTCCATGGCGAGCGTGGGAACCGTGCCTGTAGGGAAGAGCTGCAGCGTGCACGTTTGAGAACGCACATGCGGAGGAGCGGGAGAAGGTACAGGAGCAGGAAGAGGGAGAGCGATGCCCCCCCCCCCGCACACACGACAACAAAAAATGAAGGCGTGCAAGTCCCCGCCCGGTGCCGTGCTCGAGGCCAAACTTTTCCCGGAGCTTCTGCCGGAAATAAACGGCGATCAACACAAAGACGAGGCGGGCCGTCATCGCGGTGAGCTTGGCCAGCTCGGGGAAGACGAGCAGGGAGACGAGGAGGGCCAGGTAAAAGTTGCCACGAAAAAGCGACACCTTGTCCTTGGTCAGGGTGTCGGCCCACTGGATCGAGTAGCAAGCCATCGAGCACACGCAGATCTGCATGTCTGGTCCGATCGCGCCCTTCTCGTCGAACAGGCCGTAGCCGAGGACCCTCCTGCCGGCCTCGGGCGGCCGCTCGCCCAGGGCGGGCGACCTCAGCGACCACCGGTCCAGGAGGAAGGCGATGCCGAACGTGAGCGCCACGTGCAGCAGGAACACGAGCACCGCAACCTCTTTGTGCTGGTGCGGGTGCAGGTGGTGCCTGGAGGAGCGGGCAGGAGCATGGAGCATCGGCGTTCCGAGGTCCGCGCGCAGCTTCTCGGGTCGGGGGGCGGCGGCGGGGGGCGCCTCCGGGGAGTGCCAGCCCCGACCCTTCGAAGCCCGCGCCGGCCCCGGAAAGCCCGCGCGTGCCGCGCGCGGTTCTGTGTTCGTCGAGTGCCGCAGATGCTGGTGGAAGGGCGCGTCGATGGCGGGCCCCTCGTCACTGTCGTGGCCTTCCTCTTCTTCGCTGTCGTCAAGCTCGCTGAGCAATCCAGGGTCGTCGAAGCCTTCGGACACAGAAGCGTGCTGACAGTTTATGTAGGCTTCGCGATGAGACAACACGTTGTGACATCGCCAGCGATGAGCCGTCGCCTCTCATGAGCGTCATGGGTTAGCGGTCCGAGATCGACAGATACGTTCAATGATTTAGGCATACGGGGCTCTGTGCAGTGTTCTGCTGCGCGCCATTGGTATGGGCGGGCGCAAGCAAAGCAGGAATGATTTCCCTGGTCCCTGAACACCCATTGTTGGTATCACAATACTAATCACAACGCGAAATCCAGATGTTTGGCAGCGAAGAGGTCAAACAGTAAATTATTGCACCTTGGAGAGGCGAACTATGCGGTGTATGCCATATGGTATGAATTATGCTGTATACGCTACGTTGTGTCAGCTATGTCGTGTGAGCTATGTGATTTGAATTATCTCGTGTGGGCTTTGCTGTGACCGATGCGTTGCAAGCTATGTGGCGTGCACTATGCTGTGTAAGCTCTGCATCCTTAGCTGTGTGGTGTGAGCTATACGGTGTAAGCTAGGTGGTATAAGCTATAGTATGAGTGCTACGTAAGGTAACCTGTACGGTGTACGGTGTGGTGTGCGCTCTGTTGTGAAAGCCTTGTGGTATGAGCTGTGCGGTCTGAACCAGAGTGTGTAAGCGATGAAGTTTTTTTGCGGTGTATGACATACGCATAAATATATATATACATATATATATATACATAAACATAGAGCTACGTGGTGTGTTCTATGCGGTGCAAGCTATGTGGCACCATCGGGCGGGCACCATGCGAAATCTCGGCGTAGCACCGCAGCGCGAGCTCCCTAGAGCGCCCACGAGTCGCGCACGGGCGGGCGCAAGGCGCAACCTCGGCGAACAGAACCGCCCTGGCGCGGGGCCCACACAAGGCGCCCACGGGCGGGCACGAGGCGAAACCGCGGCGTATCCACGCAGCGCTGGGCGCCCACGACGCGCCCACGGGCGGGCACCCGGCGAAAGCTTGGGGTACCCACCCAACGCGAAGAGGCAGTTTGACCGTGCGTTAAGCCAACAGCGTAGTGTCAACAGCGTAGTGTCGACAGCGCAGTGTCAACAGCGTAGTGTCACCAGTGTAGTGTCAACAGCGTAGTGTCAACAGCGTAGTGTCCACAGCTTAGTCAACAAAGTAGTGTCCACAACGTTGGGCCAAACCACGTAGTATCGACAGCGTAAAGTCAAACGCATAATGCCAGCAGCACAGTGTAAACAGTAGCGCGTCAACAGCGTAGCGCCAACAGCGTAGTGTCAACAGCGTACTGTCAAAGGCATGGTATCAACAGCGTAGTGTCAACAGCTAGTGTCAACAGTATAGAGTCCACAACGTAGTGTCAACAGCGAAATGTCAACAGCGTAGTGTCAACAGCGTAGTGTCAACAGCGTAGTGCCAACAGCCAATTGTCAACAGCGTAGAGTCCACAGCATAGCGTCCACACCATAGCATCAACAGCGTAGTGTCAACAGCGTGGTGTCAACAGCGTAGTGTCAACAGCTTAGTGTCATCAGCTTAGTGTGAACTACATACTGTCAACAGCGTAGTGTCCACAGCACAATGTTAACAGCATGGTGTCAATAGCGTAGTGACAACAGAAGTTCAACAGCGTAGCGCCAGCAGCGTAGGATCAACAGCGTAGTGCCAACAGCAGATTGTCAACAGCGTACTGCCAACAGCGCAATGTCAACAGCGTAGCATCAACAGCTTCAAACCACCAGCGTAATGTCAAACGCGTAGTGTCAGCAGCGTAGTGCCAACAGCGTAGTGTCAACAACGTAGTGTCAAAAACGTCGTGTCAACCGCGTAGTGTCAACAACGTAGCGTCAACAACGTAATGTCAACAACGTGCTGTCAACAACGTTGTGTCAACAGCGTCGGGCCAAACCGCGCAGTGTCGACAGCGTAATGTCAAACGCATAGTGCCAACAGCATCGTGTAAACAGTAGAGCGTCAACAGCGTAGTGTCAACAGCGTAGTGTCAAGACGTACTGTCAACAACATAATGTCAACAACAGAGAGTCAACCGCGTCGCATCAACCGCGCAGTATCAACAGCGTAGTGTCAAACGCACGATGTCAGCAGCGTCGTGTCAACAGCGTTGAGCCAACACCGTGATGCCAACAGCGTGGTGTCAACAGCGTAATGTCAGCACCGTAGTGTCATCAGCGTAGTGCCAACAGCGTAGTGTCAACAGCGTAATGTCAACAGCCTACTGTCGGCCGCAAGCTATCCACAGTGCGGTGTTAACAGCGTAGTGTCAACAGCGCGAAGTCAACAGCGTAGCGTCAAAAAGCGTAGTGTCAATAGCGTTGTGTCAACAGCAAACTGTCCAACTACGCTGTTGAATCTTCAATGTTGGCACTACGCTGCTAACACCACGCTATTGAAGTGTAGTGCCAACAGCGTAGTGTCATATGTGCAGTGTCAGTTGAAACTACGCTGTTGACACTACGCTGCGAGGTCGGCCATGTTCACCAAACTCGCCCTAGGCATTTCTGGGCGCGACGGGCAGCAGGGCAGCGTGAGCGGCGTGGTGTCAACAGCGCAGCGAGGTGTCAACAGCGCAGTGTCAACCAACATTACACCGTGGACACTAATGGGGGCACGCGTTAAAAAAAATGGGAGCGACACGATCTAAAAACAAATTTCGCGGGGGGGGCGGGCAGGACACGAATACACTCGGGGACGCTCGAGGACGCTCGAGGACGCTCGGGGCGACACTCACGACTAGAATCTCTAACTCGCGGTCCAGAGATCCCCTCACCCGGCGCCGGGCGCACACGGAGCGCCCACGGCGGCGGGCAGAAGGCGAAACCGCAGCAGGGGCCCCATGGACACGCTCAAGGCGCACTGAGGGCAGTCCACAGCTTGCCGGAAAATCAGCCCCCGGTGCGTTTCACCAACCGTCATCCAGTCTGTTTTGCAAACGCAGTGGGCTCTGACCCGATACCCAGAACTGATCTGGGCCCCCCCCCCTCTACATGTTGCCCCATCCGCGATCTTGCGTGTTCCAAGCGGTTCTCCTGGGTTTTGCAAAATTGTTCTGTGGGTATGGCAATGGGTTCCTTCGGCATGGCGATGGTATCCTTCAGCAGGGCAGTGGATCGCTTGGGCATGGCAATGACATTGTTTGGCATAGCAATGGTAGCCTTGCGTATGGCATTGCCTTGGGAGTGGCAATTGGTTTATTCGGTCTGACAGCGGCATGATTTGCGATGTTGATGGGTTCCGTGGGTCTGGCTATTCATATATTGGGTGGGGGCGTGGCTTCCTTGCGTGTGGCAATTGATCCATTGGGCATGGCAATGAAATCCGTGAGTATGGGACTGCATTTCTGGGGAATGCCAATGCATTGGGAATGCCACTTGATTCCTTGGGTGTTGCAACGGGTCGCTCTGGTATCACAATAGGTTCCTTTGGGATGACAGTTCACTTCGCTGTTGTGGCAATCCTTCATGGTGTGGCCTTGGGTATGGCAATGGACTCTATGGGCATGGCAATGCGATCCTTGTGTCTGGGCATGGGTTACCATGTACACGGATTCCTGTGCTCACCCATGCACACATGAAATGCACACTTCGAATCTTGCAGTATCTTTTTGCGTGCTCGTGCGCAGCCCATGTGTCTTTCTGAGTGCTCCTAAGTTTCCCGATGCCGCCCTACGAATGCCAAAAGAGCTCGTGTATGTGTGCACCCCGACGTGCTCCAACGAACACTGGGCAGGTTTTCCCTCCAACCGTACTGCAGCTCGTGATTTTGAAACCTTCTGGCATTCGTGAAGCAACTCCTTTGTTACTCGTTGGCATTGTCTTTGAAACTGAAGGGGCCCCGGGACACACAAATAAATACGCACAAATAACAGGATTCCCCATAGTTGCCCATATCTTCTGGGTCTTCGTCTTCCCCCCCCCACTTCCCACATTTTCCCATATTTCCCCATATTTTCCTGGGAGTCGACGACTCATCGTGTCTGTGTGTTTTTCCCCCTCCTGAGAAGCCCCGGCACTCGTGCTCAAACTCCTGGTTGGGGTCCGCCGCTGCCCCGGCCGAGGCGGCCGCCCGCGGGCCACCGCCTGGGCGCCCAGGCGATGGCCGCCTCCGCCGAGGCTCCCCCTCGGTGGCCGACCGTGGACGCCCCGGGGGGCGCCCGCGCGCCCTGCCTGGCTCACCGCCGCCGGAGTGTCGCCCGGCGGGCGCAGCCGGGGGGCGCTCGCATGGCGCGTGCGCCGCACGCAGCGCCGCGCAGCTTTCAGTCGGGCGCGTCCCCCTGCAGGGGCATCTTCGGTGACAAATGAAAAAAAAAATGCTCCCCCAAATGCCCCCGAGTGGTAAAACATGCTAAAAAATAGGCCCCGGACTATCTTAGACTGTTTTTGGATTATTTTGAGGGTATGTTTTGGTTTTCGTCGAAAATCACCCTGTAGGGGGACAGGTCCGACTTAAAGCTAGCTTGCACCGCATAGCTTGCGCCGCACACCCTGTACCGAGCACCTTGCACCACAAGGCTTGCACCACATAGCTTTTGCACCGCATGGGGCTCTCGTCAGAGGCTCCCCGCAGATGCTCTGACCATGGAGGAACCGTTCGGAGGACGGAGGGCAGATCTTTTTCAGGACAGGCCTCGTTGGACACTCCCTTGGATTTGGTAATCCTGCCTTTCTGCGCTTCGTTCAGCGTGAATGATGGAGGATGGTTCTTTTACACACCGGGGTATCGTTTGAGTGGCACGCCCACCTGGCGCTCGTCATTCAGGTGGGGGGCTTCCCGTGGCGGGGGGGAATACTTGTAGAGATTTTTGAGGGGCCTTGGGAAAGGAGGGTGTTTACTCTGGCCCCTCCTACCCCTCACCCTCCCCTCAGCGCAGAGAAGCAGCAGGAATCGTCTAAATCTTCGTCGGCCTCGTGATCAGCATCAGTGTCGCTGTCCTCGTCGCCGCCGTCGGTGTCGACTTCAATATGCCGCCGCGCCGTTTGCAAGTGGACGACGCCGACACCACGGCAAACCCGCGGCAAACCCTACATCCCGCACCCCAAGCAGACGACGCCAGCACCGCGGCAAACCCCACGGCGAGCCCGCGCCCGAGGCGGCGTTGGTCCTTGTGGCCGAAGCGTCCTCCCCAAGACGGAAGGACGCGCGTCGGAACAAAACGGCGCGGCGACACATCGTTGTCGGCGGCGGCGTCGTCGACGAGGTCAAGGTCGTCACCGTCGACGCCAATGCCGTCGTTGACCGTCGTCGTCAGGGGGTGCCTTCGCCTCCTGAGGCCTCCAGGCGCTCCCAAACGGGGGGCGAAACCTGCCCAAAGACCTGGGCCCTGCAGCTCCAGGAGGACGACGACGACGCGGGAGGAGGAAGAAGAGAGTGGAGGAGGAAGAAGAGAGTGGAGGAGGAGGAGGAGGAGGAGGAGGAGGAGGAGGAGGAGGAGGGAGGCGGAAGTAGAGGAAATGGAAGAGAAGGAGGTGGAGGAGGAGGAGGAGCAGCAGGAGGAGGAGGAACGGAGGAGGAGGAGGAGGAGGAGGAGGAGGAGGAGGAGGAGGAGGAGGAGGAGGGGGAGGGGGAGGACCTCGACCCTCGACCTCGAACCTCGAGGATCGATCCCGGCCCTCGACCTCGATCCTCGACGCCCTCGTTCCTCGAGGATCGAGCATCGACCTCGATCCTCGATCCTCGACGCCCTCGATCCTCGATCCTCGACGCCCTCGATCCTCGATCCTCGACGCCCTCGATCCTCGAGGATCGAGCATCGACCTCGATCCTCGATCCTCGCTGCCCCGCCGTCGGCGGCGAGCGGCTCAGTGTCGGTCCCAGGCCCGAACCCGTCGTCCAGATCGCCGTCGGCGCCGGCGCTGGCCAGCGCTCTGCCGCGCAGGGTGGGCTGGCCGCCCACGGCGCCGCCGCCGCCCGGGCCGCCGCCGGGGCCGGCGTCGGCGAGCAGGACCGCAGCGGGGGAGGGGGAGGGGCGGGGCTTCGAGGCCGCGCGTCGGGGAACGAGGAGTGACGGGAGCATCAAAGCTCGGAGGTCCGCGCGGATTTCTCGGATCGGCGCCGGGAGCCCCTGGCGGCGCCTCCGGCGCCGCCCCCGGCGCGCTCCGCGCGCCAGAGAGGGGGGTCCAGCGCCGATCCGAGGAATCCGCGCGGGCCTTCGAGTTTTTCTGTTCATGTCATTCTTCGTTCCCCGAGTGTAGAGCGCAGAACCCCCCACCCTCATGAGAAGCACCCCGACAAGCGAAGCAGCGAAGCCGTTTAGCAAACGCGCCCAAGGGAGGAATCGAACTCGAAATGGGCAGGGCTGTTCCTTGAACGCCCAGGGCCGTCAAGTGAACGCCAATCGTCGGGGTCGGGGTGGTTTTTCCGCCCTTGACTTTGGGGGTCGAGGGTTCGATGATCGAGGGCGTGGGATCTTTGCTATAGTGCCTCCCGTGGGCCTCGCGTGGCCACGGCGAGGTCCGCATCGGGGTGCTGGCCGGGGAGAGCAGCCCTGCGGAGGCAAGGGGGGGTAGACTTTGAACCCGCGGACCTGGGCCACATTGTGGGATCCACATCCTGGATGGTTGGGCGCATGCCCGGGGGAGCCGTCAAGGTTGAGAAAACGCCTGTGGGAGACGCCTGCCAGGACGCTGGAAAGCATGCCTGCGGAGCTTGCAAGCTTCGAACAGGAAGCTCTGAAGGAGCTTCGAGGGAGCTGCGAAGGACCTGCGGAAAGGCTTGAGGCGCGCGTATGGGGAACGAGTCGGAAAATGCTTCTCGGGACCCGCTGCAGCCTCAAGCAGGTTGCTCCGGGGATGCCTGCCCGGGAGCCTTCGAGAGGGGCTGGCGTACCCAGCCCCGCCTGCCGGCTTCTGATCTGAAACCCTCTTCGCTCTCCAAGGAGCTCTCCGGGAACAGACCTCCAGAGACTCGAGGGTGTCGGGTCTGAAACTTTCCTGCGTGTTCGGCCTCTGGGGGCCGTTTTCGGGCCCCGGGGCCTTCGAAGGACTGCCGAGGATGGGAGATGCGTGGGGAGCAGGGGCCCCGATGCTCGGAGAGATCGGGCCGTCGAAGGTCTGGGGGGAGGGGGGAGTGGAAGGGGCAGGATCGAGGAGGGTCGGGGATCGAGGCAAGATGGAGGGGCGGAAGATCCAGGATGGAGGAGGATCGAGGCGGGATCGGGGAAGGAGGATCGAGGATCAACGGTTTTGCCCCAAACATTGCTTGCACTTGGGGGTAGCCTTTTCGGGAGCTGGGCCCGTCTGTTGGCCCCGCGGCCCCGTTACCGTCCGTCGCCGCCTCACGCGCTCTCAGTCAAAAGCTAGTCTGTTGGCCCGGCGGCCCCGTTCCTGTCTGTCGCCGCCGCCCCGCTGAACCCCCTCCCCCGTTGCACCCCCACCCACCCCGTTCATCGTTTTGTGTTGCTTTGCTTTGCATTGCTTCGTATTGCATTGCATTGCCTTGCACCGCACTGCTTTGCATTGCTTTGCATTGCTTTGCATCGCATTGCATCGCATTGCATCGCTCTGCATCGTGTTGCATTGCTGCGCATTGCTTCGCAACACGATGCATCTATTTGCGTTGCTTTGCATTGCTTGGCGCACCGCTTTGATTGGACCACCTAGATTGCACCACGTGGATTTCACCCAGATTTCACCGAATGGATTGCTAGGAATCTCTGTTAGGGATCCACGTTGGTTATCATTCTTGATTGGTTGCCTTTGAGGGGCCTCTGGAAACACCCGCGAAGGCCACCAGAGGCTCCCAGAACTTCGCGCGGCCTCCGGAGCAACAAGATCCACGCAACGGCCCCAGAGGGGGAAGGCAAAAGAAACAAGGTCTAGGTCGGGCATGTCTTCTTACAGGCGGACGGTGGACGAACAACTATATAATATATACAAGTGGCACGTGTGTGCCCAGGCTCATACAAAAAACTGAAAGGGCGTTTCAAGCAGGAAGACACCATGACTGCGGGATCGGAGATGGAGAAGCGGAGGCTGGGGCAGCGCCGCCAGGGCGTGCCTAAGAAAAGGGGAAGAGGCAGGAGGTGAACGCAGAAGAATCTAAGATCGAGGTCGCACTCGAGCGCAAGTGGGGTTGCCACAACTTGCGATGTGTGTACCAGGACCCCCCCAAGAAACCTCAGGAGGCCCGACTTGGATACCGGAAGAGGCTCCATGAGGCCCCGGGATTGTGAGTGTTGTGTGTGTGTGTGTGTGATGTGTGCTCTGTGTTGTGCGTGTTTTCTGTGCGTTGTAGGTGTTGTGTGTTATGTTTGTCTAGCGTGTGATGTGTTGGGTGTGATTTGTGTCACTGTGCGTGCATGTAGTTCTGAGGCCTCAGGAGGCCCCAGGAGGCCCCAGGCGGCTTCAGGAGGCCCCAGGAGACCCCAGAAGGTTCCAGGAGGCCCCAAGAGGCCCCAGGAGGCCGCAGGAGGCCCCAGGAGGCCCCAGGATGTTCCAGGAGGCCCCCAGGAGGCTCCGAGGCAGGGTCTGGGGCACCAGAAGGCAAAGAAAGCACCAGGATGCCCCAGGAGGTTCCAGGAGGCCCCCAGGAGGCTCCGAGGCGGGGTCTGGGGAAGGTACGTCGGGGTTCGATTTTGGGAGGATGTCTCAGGCGAAACCGCCATTCTCTGAGAATCGAGGTCAAAATTATTGAAATTACGATGTGTGTGTTTTTTTAAAGGTGTTATGTTAAAATGTCGGAATTCCCATGTGTTTTTGGACCCTGACGTCACGATCTGCGTGAGGGGTGCCACCGATGTTCAGAATGTCGAGGATGTCCCTAGCGAAACGGCCAGAAACATCGCGAACGCCCCGCGTACGATTAATCGCCTCTGAGCTCTACTCCCTAGCCCCACATAATCGAACACCGTCCCCAGACTATGCTGTGATTGTGTTTGAAGATTCTTCGGGCATGCCCCAGAGGGACATGCCCGACTTCAGACAGGGTGCGAGGGCACAGCCCGTGAGTGCGTAGAGGCATCCAGAGAGCGGCGCGCGCACTGGGGGGCGGGCACGGGCAGAGCACCGAGGAACAGGCGACACGGAGGGAGAGATAGAGAGAGGAAGAGAGATGGAGGGAGAGAGGGAGGGATATAGAGGGAGGGACAGATAGAGAGAGTGAGAGAAATAGAAACGCAGAGAGAGAGAGAGAGAAAGATATAGAAAGAGAGAGAGAGAAACGAAGAGAGAGAGAGAGAGAGACAGAGAGAAGGACAAGTAGAAAAAATGAAGACTCACTCACAGCGCACGGTGATCTGGATGGCGCCGGCTGGGCTGGAGCATGGCCCTTCAAGCTGCCAGTTCCGAGTCATCCCGTAGCCCGTAGCGAGGACAGCGGGAAGAGGGTAAGGAGGGATGAGCGAGAATGGGCAAACTCCGAGCCTTTTAGTAGGGTGCGCCGTGGGCAGATAGATGTTGTCAACTCGTCCTCTCCGCACCCCCCTCCTCCTCCTCCTTCTCCTCCTCCTCCTCCTTCTCCTCCTCCTCCTCCTTCTCCTCCTCCTCTTCCTCCTCCTCCTCCTCCTCCTCCTCCTCCTCGTCCATGATGCCTCGCGGGGAAGGCCGAGCTCAGACGGGCATGCAGGCTGAGTCGTCTGGAAGATGGGGCCCGATCCTGACGATGACGCCGCCCCCATTCCGCCCGCCACCGAGCCCAAATGAAGGTTACGGGAAGGGCTGGGTTTTCTCTGAAACCCGACAGCCGTCATGGACTTCAAATGTGGCTGCGAGTGGTGCGGGGGATACTGATGGTAGATCTGGCTGTTGTAGTGGTGGTCGTGGCGGTGCTACTTAGTACCAGTGGCCGCCGTCGCGGCAATGGTAGCGGGAGCTAGTGTGGCAGTTGCAGTTGGACAGACAATGACAGCGGCAGTGGCAGTTGTATTCGTAATGAGTGGCGGCGCCCAGTCGTAGTGGCAAGACGCGCATTGCTGTTTACACTCGTGATACTCGGCGGCCTGCTACAGCCGCAGTGGTGCCAGCGTTCTGGCCAGAGGCTATAACTGGTCGGCGTGGCGCGGCCGGCCCGTTGGTCACATCCCGCTGGTACTGAGCAGCACGTCGCTACCCGGCACGTCGAACGAACGAACGAACGACGCGCTCCATCGGCCCGGAGGCCGTCCCGAGACGGGTGGCGAGGTGGCGCCTCAGCGCCCTCAGTTCTGGTACTCGACGGTGCATTCCAGCCAGCGTTCGCACTGCCCCCCACGCCGCCGGACGCGGTTCTCTGGCTCCCAGTTATATGCAATCTGTGCCCACGACTCTGTGTCAGTACTCGTGCGTCCAAGCCAACGTACTGCTGCTTCGCGGTGTTCTGCAACCCAATCACGTAGATTCAGACGCGCAACACGGTGTTCAGCATCATGCGTAGCCCTTCTCACCCAATCGACCCATGGCTCCAGATCCGCATCACAAGCGTGCGACGCATCGCTGGAAGAGGAAGAGGACGACGACGATGACGATGTAGTCGTTGACTGTCGGTGCTCTCTGCGCCTGGGCATGCGGATAATCATTCTTAGCATTCTCCTTTGTGTTCGACGAATACTGTCCTCGAGTTCGTGCGTCAGCACCCACGTGGCCGAGCCGTAGAGCATCGTGGCAATCACTGTGCTGTAAAACAACCGGAGACGCGCATTTAATGGATAGCTTCTGTCCGTGAGCTCTGCGCGGTGCTGCATGAAACACTTCCAAAAACAACGAATGCGATTGTTGATCTCCACATCATGGGGCCGGTCGAAACCCACCATTCTGCCAAGATATTTCACGCTCCCGCTATATGGAACAATATCAATGCCCATGTCGCCAATCATGACCTTCGGCTCCTTCGGTCTGCCAATGCCCCTGGTCGCGTTGCTCAGAATATTTGTTTTGTATGGGTGTAGTTCAAACCCAACTCTGGCCGCGGCGCCTTTGATGTCCCGGAGCATGGCCTTGAGCTGCCTCAGCGTGCTGGACACGAGGAGAATGTCATCCGCAAAACGTAAATTTGTCAGCTGTGTGTGCTCCGTGAATCCCATCTTCAAGCCCCAACCCTTCCCAAGCCATTTCTGCTTCACTTCGCTCACAACGTCTTCTATGAGACAATTCAACAACAAAGAGCTCAGCGGGTCCCCTTGTTTCGTTCCACGCTGGATCTCGTAAGGCTTGCTCAGGCAATCAGTGCGTACTCTGGCTGTTTGTCAAGTGTAAAGCTTCTGACGCAGAGATATGTATCCGGATGGAACGCCGTGTCGGGCAAGCGCGCGCCACAAAGAACGGTGTTCAACACAATCAAATGCCTGTTTGACGTCCAGGGCGGCGAGCCACAAGCCACACTGCCACGTCGGCTTCCACCAATGGCACCACCGCTGGCATCGCTGAAGACCAGGACGGGCAGGCGGAGGAGGAGGAGGAGGAAAAGGAGGAGGAGGAGGAGGAGGAGGAGGAGGAGGACGAGGAAGAGGTGGAAGAGCGCGAGAGAAGGAGCAGCTGCACGAGCAGGAGCCAGGCGGAGCCAGGAGGACGAGGAGCGGCAGAGCGACCAAGCTGCCCAAAGCCGCCCACGTCGCCGCGACGGTCACCATGGCCGTCCTGCTCGCAGGCGGAGGAGGAGGAGGAGGAGGAGGAGGAGGAGGAGGAGGAGGAGGAGGGGAGGAGGAGAGGAGGAGGAGGAGGAGGAGGAGGAGGAGGAGGAGGAGGAGCACCCCATCCACCCCGCTCCGCGCCCCCCCGCTTCCCCTCGTCTCCCCTGCGCCTCCCCCCCTCCCTTCTCCTGATCCTCCACAGCTCCCTCCGCGCTCCTGCCCCCATCCCTCCTCCTCCTCCTCCCTCCTCCTCCTCCTCCTCCTCCTCCTCCTCCTCCTCCACCTTCTCCTTTCCATCATTCGCGTGCTCTCATTTCCTTTTCGCACCTCCACCTGCATCTCCTCCTCCTCCTCCTTCTGATTATCATGCTTCTCCTCCTCCTCCTCCTCCTCTTGATTCTCATGCTCCTGCTCTGTCTTCTCTCTCCACTCGCCCTCCTCCCTCCTCCCATCTCCTCCTGCCCTCGTCGCTCCTTCTTCCACTCTTGCCCTCCACACCATTTACTCCGTCTTTCTCCCTCCTCCCTTCCCCCTCCTCCCTCCCCCCATGGTATCCCTGCCCATCTCGTCATTGCTCCTTGTCGGTACCCACCCCGTCGGTCCTCCGCCGACGAAGGCCAATGATCGCACACGCCCGGCCCCTTGCGGGCACATGATCGTGCCGAACTGGCCTTCGACAGGGACGACGGGGGAGGGATGGCATGCTCCTCTGCGCGCTGGTTCACGGCCCCAGCTGATGCAGACTGCCCCTGGGCGCGCACCAGGCGCACCTCGCACGCATGAGCGCCTGGCGCACCTGGTGCGCGTGGCGCGCCCGGGCACGCGGGGCGCGCTTGCCTCGAGGGCGCGGCGCGCCGGGCGCCCGCGCTGGCCCCCTGGTGGCTGTCCGTCGGACGGCGGCCGCTGCCTGTGCTGAAACTCGGGCGAGAGCTGACTACCTACCAGACCACCCCAACCCAACCCGAAGATCCGAATTTCGGGTTGGGGGGGGTAAGGGTTCCACGCGTGTTTTTTCTATGTTTCTCGACCCCCCCACTAGAAATCGAGGGTAAATCTGAGCCTTCGGGTTGGGTTGGGGTGGTTTGGTGGGTGGTGAAGAGCGGGTGGGCGCTGAGCGAGGCGGCGTGCAGCGTCGCGGGGTCCAAGAGCAGCCCACGGTCGGAACCGCCTGCTGGACACCCTGTGCCGGACAAGCCGATGGCCTGTCGCTCCGCTCCGCGGTGCGGGAGGCCGGGGAACTCTCGGGGGACTGACGCTTGGAAGTGGGGGCGTGGTTGGCGCGTCGCACCGAAGACCCAGCGGCGCGACACGCTGAGCCAAAGTCCCTGACCGTAAGTGCCGTCGCACGTCGGTCCTCGACCGCAATAATAAAACACAGCAACCTCGCGCTGAAATCCTCTCACTGCTGAATTAACGGCCCCACGCGATCACTCTCCAATGAAATCTCGCGCGCCGGAATCATCGGGCACACTGCGCCGCGTCAAACCATAGTGATGGCTTTCCAGGAGGCCCTCTGGAGATTCACATCCCGACGGTCGGCGCGGGCAACAGTTCCTAGTGAAGTGTGATCGGCACGAAGTTGCGCCTCCTCACCGCCCAATCCACGACCCAGGTTTTGGCAATTCGTGCGCAAGGGTCGACAACGAGGGAGCAACAGGAAGAAAAGCCATCTACCCCGCCCGCCGCTCACTGGAACCCCTGCTACGACATAGCGGAATCTGGGCGCATCGCCCGCTTTCCCCCCCCCCTTCTCCTTCCCCCTTCGTTCCGTCCGTTTTCCTCCTTCCGCCCTCATCGTCGTCGTCCTCCTCCTCCCTCCTCCCTCCTCCCTCCTCCTCCTCCTCCTCCTCCTCCTCCTCCTCCTCCTCCCCTCCTCCTCCTCCTCCTCTCCTCCTCCTCCTCCTCCTCCTCCTCCCTCCTCCTCCTCCTCCTCCTCCTCCTCCTCCTCCTCCTCCTCCCTCCTCCTCCTCACATTCCTCCTGTGTGTCCCCACGTCATCCGCCACCGTGCCGCTGGTCGCGTGTGGGCGTGCGCTCCGGTCAGTTGCCCAATCCCGTGAGACTCGGTCCTCACTCCTGATGAGTCTCTTAAGGCTTGGCGCGTGCCCTCTGGGCTTTGCCAGGTGGTGGCGCGTGAATGTTTCTTCGGACCCAAAGAGGGCCCCAAGACGGGCCCAGCGGGGGCCCCAACAGGCCCCGAGGACGGTCCACGAGGGCCCCGAGTCGCCGGCGGATCGCTCCAAGACCCTCAAGATGGCCACCAGACGGCCCAGAAGTCCTCCAAGACGCCCCCAGAGTCCTCCAGGAGGCCTCCCAAGGGGGCCCCAACAAGAGGCCCAAATTCTTATTGTTCCTTAGGTTGCCGAATGTTGTTGTTTTCCTCGCCGTTTCGGCTTCCCGACGCTCCCAGACGGCCCTTGAGGCCCCCGAGATCGCCCCAAGACGGCCCAGGAGGCTTCCAAGAGGGCCCCCGAACGGCCCACGAGGGCCCCAAGACGGCCCGAGACGCGCACAAGACGGGTCCAAGAGGCCCCCAAGAGGCCCCCCCGGGCCCCCGGGAAGCCTCCAAGAGGCTCTCAGGAGGCCCTCAAACTGCCCCCGAGAGGCCCCCGAGAGCGCTCCGAAGAGACCCGATGAAGCATCCCTGAGAGCTCTGACCCACAGCCCAGGCACGGTGGCGCAATGGGCCGAGGGCCATTCGATGTAAGCGGTGGGCTTCATGCAACCGTGCCGCCAACCAGCACTGTGGTCTTAAGAAGAAGGGGGTCCCGCGGATGAAGCAATGTTGCCCAATCAGTGCTGGCACTGAAGGGGTCCTGGCGGACGTTGCAAGGCTTGGCGAACATTTCCGGCCGATTTCGGTGGGCGGCCAGGCTTCTGGGTTCCTGGTTCTGGGTTCCCGGCTTCCCGGTTGCCGGTTCCGGGCCGATTTCGGCGGCGGGGTTCCCTGGGCTTCCGGACTCCTGGGCTCCTGGTCGACCTCCTGATCGATCGGGCTCACCATCGATCTCACTGCCCCCCTCTCTATGGCTCTCTCAATCGATCTCACAATCGATCGCACGAAAGGCCGCACCAGCGATCTCACCATCGATCTCACGAAAGGCCGCACTTCTAAGCGATCTCTCGATCGCCATCACCCTCGACCTCACTGCATCGACTTCACTACGGGACTCACGATCGACCTCACTATCGGCGATTGCGCTCGGGCCGCCCCCGGCATTCCGCCCTCCCCCCCAGACCCCCGACGCCATGATGCATCATGGTTTACTCATAACGTCGACCCCCAGAGGTCTGAACCTGTTCCCCGGGACTGGTCTGTCATCCCGAGTCGTTTTTTGGACGGCCCCGAGGCCCGGTCAGGGCCCCCAGGGGCCGAACATCCTGAAAGACCTCCCGTCGGGTTTTTTTCATCACTTGAGGGGGTCTGGGCCGAGAGCTCCTCAGCGCCCAGCCGAAGCCCCGCGCGTCCACCGCCTGGCCCCCGCGCGGCGCCCACGGGGGCGGCTGCATGGCGGCCCAGTGCGGCCCCGTCCGCGGGGCCCTGGCGCGCGCTTGCGCGCGCGTACGCCGGGTCTCGGCGCCTGAACGGCCGCGGAAGGGGGGGGGCAGCGGGCCGAGCAGGGCTGAAAAAAGGGAAGAGAGAGGAGGAGCAGGAGGAGGAGGAGGAGGAGGAGGAGGAGGAGAAGGAGGAGAGGAGGAGGAGGAGGAGGAGGAGGAGGAGGAGGAGGAGGAGGAGGAGGAGGAGGAGGAGGAGGAGGAGGAGGAGGAGGAGGAGGAGGAGGAGGAGGAGGAGGAGGAGGAGGAGGAGGAGGAGGAGGAGGAGGAGGTAGGAGGAGGAGGAGGAGGAGGAGGAAGAGGGGGAGGAGGAGGCGGAAGAAGAGGAAAAGGAGGAGGAGGAGGAGGAGCAGGAGAAGCAGGAGAAGCATGAGGAGGCCCTCCGCATCAGTCCACAATCTTTTGAGACTGCTCCTCCTCAGGAGGAGGTCGAGGGGGGTGTTGTAAGGTTCTGTGTGGTTCTGTGTTGTGCTGTGGTGTGGTGCCCCCCCAGGCAGAGGAGGCCACAGGCGGATGGTGGAGCACTGTCGCTGTCGTATCCTTGGGACATGAGCGGGCCCCCATCACCTGAGCCCGTCGGGGGGGAGCGGGGTCTGGCGAATGAAGGACTCCATCACGTGACCTGCAGCGGGGTGCTATGTATACCCACGTTGTCGGGGCGCGTGCGGAGAACCTGGCGATGATGTTATACGCAGAAGGCCACGGAGGGAGGACGAGAAGGAACATGGTGTTCGAAGGTTGTCTATAACCTTGTGGCGCTCTTCATGGTCCAGTGTGCTGCCCGGAAGGAATCAGAGCTTCAACGCCTTGATAAATCAAGACGGTATTTTTCGCGAGTTCTGCCTGGGGGACTTCTTTGGACTCAGGCCATCAAACAATGATCCAGGACGACAGAATCTGCGGAGCCCCCGCATCAGAGAAATTCGGACATCGGATGCCTGGGCGGGATCCAGAGGGAGCACAAGAGAATATGGTGGCGTTCTGCTGAGGTCTTGAAGCTCCTAGGGGAAGGGGGGCCAAGGTTCCCAGCGTGTCGGGGTCCTTACAGGAGGAGGAGGGGGAGGAAGAGAAGGTGGAGGAGGAGGACCAGGAGGGGGAGAGAACGAACCTCCAGCTCCCCGAATCACTGGGCTGGCCATGGTTTCCGGCGAGGGGTCGGAATGCGTGCGAGGCGTCCGCCGCACATCGTCGAGAGCCATCCAAAGGGGGAGGGGGAGCGGAATCGTCCCGCGCGGTGCTGCCTGTCCAGCGGGTGCGGGAAGCGAGGGGGGAGAAGCGAGAGAGGGAGAGGACAAGCTGGTCGGCGGCGAGCGAGGGGGGGAAGTGAGACGGGGCGGGCCTTCTCAGAAGGCTCTGAAGTCCCCCGGACTTCTCAAACAGTTTCGAAGCCTTCCCCGAAAGCAGGTACACCTTTCAGAAGTCGCGGGGGCTTCTGAGAAGTCCCGCCGCCTTGGGAGAAGACCCTCTTCCTTCTCATTTCCCCCCCTGGCTCGCAGCCGCGCTGGGGCTCGCGCCATGCGCATCTGGCATCCTGGCCCTCCTCTGCCCGCCCACGGGCATCATCATAAGGGGGACCTGGGACCCCCCCACCAAGGGACCGCAACGCGCTGTGCACAGTGTGTACAAGAGGAGCCGTGTACATTGGAGGAGGTGGTGGATGAGCAGAAGGATGAGCAGGACGAATAGGATGAGGAGGAAGAGGAGGGAGGAAGAAGGAGGAGGAAGGAGGAGGAGGGGCAGGAGGAGGAAGGAGGAGGACGAGGAGAAGCAGCGGCAGCAGGAGCGCGATGAGCGGGAGGAGCAGGATGGCAAGGGGGAGGCGAGCGGGGAAAGCAATGGGGGCGACAACGCCGAGGAAGCACGCGGATCCAGAGCTGTGGCCCACGCAGGGGCGAGAGCGCCACCCTGCACGACGGGAACAGGGCGCCAGTCTTGAAATGAGGCCAGCGCTGCAGTGGGAGCAACGCTTCGAAACACCGACCACGCTCCGACACGAACAACCGCATGAGAACAAGAAACGCTTGAACTCCGGTGTAGAACACCATGCACGGAGAGGGCGGGATACTTTGAGGACGTAGTCGATGGGATACTCACTTCACATAACGATGGGAAAAAGAGGAAGGAGGGATGTAGGGATGGGCCGGCACAATACATAAAGCGAGTAGAAGACTTGGGACGACGGACGACGGGCCAAATAACAACGGAAGGCAACACCAAAACATAGAGGGATGACAGAAATAAGAACACACCAGAAAAAGACATCGTCAACACAATTGCAGAGAAAACAACATCGGCCCTGGGGCAAAATCGATAGCGGCACCGCGGATTGAAGTACTTGCTTCGAGTCGGGTCGAATCGACCATCATGGAAATCGAACCGAGCCAGGCCAGCGAAATCAGAATGAATCCTCAGGGGTGCTGACATGCCCCATGAAGTCATTTCCATTATCATTATCTCTATACTCCCCCCTGTCTTCTCTCCTTATCGATGTTTCGGCATTCCTCTTCCTTTCACCCGATCCTCCTGAGCCTCCTCCTCTTCCTCGTCCTCGTCTTCCTCCCGAGCCTTGCCACCCCTCCTCCTCCTTCTCCTCCTCCTCCTCCTCCTCCTCCTCCTCCTCCTCCTCCTCCTCCTCCTCCAACCCCACTCCTCCTCCTCCTCCTCTTCCTCCTCCTCCTCCTCCTCCTCCTCCTCCTCCTCCTCCTCCTCCTCCTCCTCCTCCTCCTCCACCCCCACTCCTCTGGAGCGACCCCGGTGAAGCGCACCTCCACGTGCGACACCTGCATCCGCACCTTCTGCACGAAGCCGATGTAGAGGCTCACCCGGCCCTCGACCGCGGAGTAGAACGCCACCTCCCGCGGGCGCTCTGGGTCCGCCGCGCGCCGCACGTGCGCCACTCCGTGCCTCGCTCCGCAGCCTTCTGCCTACACCACCACCGCGGCTAGACGTTCCGCCGAGGGAGCCGGAGAAATCACGAGCACCCTGAAATCATTGTCCTCCTCCCACCTCCTCCCTCCGCCCCCCCCCCCATCCCCGCCTCCCTCCCCCCCAATCCCCTTCGCCCCCTCCCCCCCCCCGGCCCCGCCTCCTCGCAATCCCCCCCCCAATCCCCCCTCGCCCCCCCCAAATCCCCTCCGCTGTCCTCCTGTCCTCCTCTCCTCTCCTCCCTCTGCCCCCCCCTCCTGCGTTGCACCACGGGCCTTGTTTCTATGCGCGCGGACGCCGGGCGGACCGAGGGCTCCAGGCCGCAGCGGGATACGGTCAACAACGTGACTTTTGACGACAGGCAGGCAAGGACGCGGCGGGCGACCAGCGAAAACGACAAAGGACGGGCCGCAGAGGCAAGGACACAAGGGCACTCCGAGTTTCTGAATAGGCGTCGGGGGGGCGTCACCCCCGCCGACCGCCCCAAATCGACCCCCGTCGCGGGCAGCCACCGCGCGCCGAAGGCGCTCCGACCCCCGTCGAGCGCAACGACGAGGCGAGGTTGACCCCCGTCGGGGGGGCACCCCCCCGCGCCGATTAAGAAACCCAGAGCACCCCAAAATAAAGGCGCGCGTCCTTACCGGGCGCGCTGGCTCTAGCTTGCCGTCGCTCGGACGTCCATTTCCCGTGCATGTGTCGGTTTCGTGCGTTTTTTTTTGTGTTTTGCTCGATGGTCCGGGATGGTCCTCAAGGGTCCTCGCCGAGAAGAACATGCACACGTCCGTGCGATGCCAAGACGCCTAGTCAGAAACCCAGAGCACCCTAAAGAGAGGCGCACGTCCTGGCCGGGCGCGCTGGCTCTCTGGATGTGAGGCTCGGGGGGGCCTGGCCCGGGCACCTCGGCGCGCCCGGCCGCCGCCCGTCGCAGCTGGGGGGGTCTCTCCCCGGGCGGCCAAGGCCTGCGGAGGACGCCGGCGGCAACGACGCCCCGGGCTGCACGGAGGCCCCCTGGAGCCCCCGACGCCCAGGCCCTGCAGGGCCTTCAAGGGGAATTGCGAAAACGAGCCTGAGGCACCCGAAACAACGCGAAAGGTGCCACCAAAATGCCCAGAGGCAAAAAGCGGTGACATTCGCGCGGGAGAAAGCCACATGCAGGCGCGACGCGCGACCACCAAGACTTGCGTTCTGCCCAAGGATCGGCAGGATTCATGGGCACACTTCCCTCCGTATCCCCCTCTCCCTGCTCCCCCCCCTCGTCCCTCCACCATTCCCCTTCTCCTCCACTCTTCCTCCTCCGCCCCTCCTCCTCTCCCTACTCCTCCCCCTCCGCCTCCCCCCCATCCTCCTCCTCCGCATCCCCCCTCTTTCGCTTCCTCCTCCTCCTGCCTTCAAGTGCAAGCACTGTCTGGGGAACACACTCGTTTTGTCTCACTTAGCTTCGCATGTGTATGGACTGTACGGAGATTTCAATATACGCCAAACGCGCTGTATTGAGTTCCCACAGTGCGGCTGTGTGGCTTATGATTAAAAGGTTATTCGGCTATGTTAGAAAAATCCATGCACCCCATATGTGTATTATTATTTTCATGTTGATTCATCCGTTGTTCGAAGCCAATCATCTTTCCCTGGCGAGTCCGAACGAGTCAACAAGCTACGTGGTGCAAACTATGGCGAGAGACGCCGTCACGAGGCGGCACACACCGGGCACTAGCCGAGAGACCGACACACCCACACAGCGCACGAGGCGGCAACGAAGCGGAAACGAGGCGGCACCAACCGGGCACCAGCCGAAACCCCGACACACCCACCCAGCGCACGAGGCGGCCACGGGCCGGCACCGAGGCGGCACCAACTGGGCGCCAACCGACAAGACGGCACGCCAACCGAGCGCGTGAGGTGTCAATGAATCCGCAACGAGGCGGCCACGGGGCGGCAACGAGGCGGCACCAACCGTGCACCAACCGGAACAACGACGCACCCACCCAACGCGCGAGGTGGCAACGAAGCGGTACCAACCGGGCACCAGCAAAAACGCCGACACACCCACACAGCGCACGAGGTGACGAGGCGGCACCAACGGAGTGCCAGCCGAAACCCAACACACCCACCCAGGGCACGATGCGGCAACGGGGCGGCGCCAACGGGGCTCCAGCCGAAACCCATCCAATTGCTTAGTAGCACGCATAAGGAGCCCGAAATGCAAGCGCCATTCGGGGATCTATTTGAAATGTGTGCATCTACGCATGGAAAGTGGTATAAATGATATCACTCGCACTGCCTCTGTCTCTATCATTCTCGGTCTCCTCCCTCCCAGTTCTCTCTCTCTCTCTCTCTCTGTCGCTCTCTTTCTTTCTTTCTCTCTCTCTGTCCCTCTTATTGAACTCCCATGTGTGAAGAATAGTTACTCTTGACCCCCCCCCTCGTGCCAAATGCACCTTTCAGTCAAAGTGATCCTCCCAGGGCTCGCACCGTGATTTTTCTTCCAGGGAAACCCTTGCGATTCAGGGTGGACCCCTGGCCCTCGACTTCAAACCACAACGACTCCCGCCGTATGCCCCCTCACAAATCTATTCCAAGAGCACGCTCCCGCGAGGGACGACCTTGAAATGTATGCAGGAATCGCGCTCTCGCGTGGTACCTCCTCGCAGTCTCTTCCAGCGCCACGCCACCGATGCTCGGGCATCACGCCTCTCGCCCTGGCCTCTCTCGCGATCTACCCTGGGAATCGCGCTGCCGCGCGAGACTCCCTCGCGATTCATGCAGGCGTCGCGCTTCAGCAGCCCGCCTGCTCGACCTGGCCGCCTGGGCCCGCCCTCCCCGCCCGCCCGTGCGGGACCACCCGCCCGAGCTGCCTGCCGGTTCTGCCACGTGTTTTTTTATGCTCCATGGCCCCTCCTCCTGCTCCATTGTTCTGCTCCTGCTCCATTCGTCTCCCTGCCACTTCCATTATCTATCCCTTAGTCTCCCTGCCCATGACGCTCCCTGCCCATTCTTCTCCCTAGTCTCTCTCCTGCTCCACTCTTCTCCCTGCCACTTCCATTATCATCCCTTAGTCTCCCTGCCCATGACTCTCCCTGCCCATTCTTCTCCCTAGTCTCTCTCCTGCTCCATTCTTCTCCCTGCCACTTCCATCCGTCCTCTCTTCGCCTGCTTTGGGGGCTGCACAAATGACGCGTGGCGGGTAAGGAAGATATATGCTCCCAAGGGAGTGCGATCGACGACGAAGAGGGCGGGCACCGAGGGTTTGGGAGATACGTGTTGGATGACACGCGAGCAGATAATAGCGAGCCGTCTTAACATGATGGTTATTGTTGTGTGCTGTGTGTGCTCTATCCCTCGCTCTCTCTCTCTCTCTCTCTCTCTCCCTCTCTCTCACTGTATATCGATATACATTTGTATAGTATTATGCCCCATCGCTCCTTGTATAAGTATGACTGGATGGTTATAGATGCTTCGCTTCCGCCCCCTTCACTCACCAAAAACTGCAAACTCCGATAATGGCACCCAATGGCGAACGGGCGTCGGCCTTCGTCCCTCTCAGCAGCTGCACCTGGGGCGCGGCACCAGGGGACAGACCACGATTTCGGCGTGCATTGCCCCTATATGCTACAATCGCTGCGACTCATCAGCACGCACACTGCGATATACGAGCGGTAGAACCAGCAATATGCCCCAACACTCGTGCCGCTTCACATCTACCAGCCGCGATGAACGCATATACATACATGTGTGAGGGCAAGATATCGAGAGCGAGAGAGAGAGAGAGACAAATATGGGGAGCTTGCGTGGGGGCAAGAAACAGAGATAGGGGAAGCATACAGAAAGTTGGTGCGACACCTTCGCACTACTCCATGAGGGGATCTTACAGGCGTGGGAACTGTCAGGTCAACCGAGCTCTTGAACAAGCCGTCCAGAACAACAACAACAACAAAACAAAACAAAACAAAACAAAACAAAACAAAACAAAACAAAACAACTGAAGTGCTGAGACGGGTACAACGTGTCTCTGACCCGCCCGCCCACGAATATGAATAATGATTTTTGATGCGTCTCTCTCTCGCTCAGTCTCTCCCTCTCTCTCTCTGACACTGTCTATGTATTTCCCTCCATCTCTCATACTCTGTCTCACCCTCTTATTCTTTCTTTATGTCCTTCTCTCTCTCTCTCTCTCTTTCCACTGTTTCCTAGCGTGTTTCTCTCTATCTCTCTCTCCTTCTGCCTGTCTGCCTGCCTGTCTGTCTGTCTGTCTGACTGTCTGCCTGCCTGTCAGTCTATCTGTCTGTCTGTCTGTCTGTCTGTCGGTCTCTGTCTCTCTCTCTGCCTGTCTGCCTGTCTGTCTGTCTGTCTCCGTCTGTCTGTCTGTCTGCCTGCCTGTCTGTCTGTCTGTCTGTCTGTCTGTCTGTCTGTCTGTCTGTCTGTCTGTCTGTCTGTCTGTCTGTCTCTGTGTCTCTCGTTCCCTCTCTCTCTTTCCCTCCCTGATTGATTTCCCTGCTCCGTCTTCCTTGCCATGGGGGAAAGGGAACGTCAGGGAGACGCATTCGATACCCTGTGGGCTTTCCCCTGGGTCGGCCCTTCACCGAAAGCAGTATTGTTTGATGGCTATGGGCTTCGGGCATGGCCCCGAGAGGCTGACGACGGCGACATTGCTCAGACCCCCTTTCTTCAAGAGCCCCTGTCTTCGGGGAGACGTCCACTTACCCCACCTTCCCTCGTTCTCGCTCCCACTGTTCCCCCTCCCCTCCGCCCCCCGTGCCCCCTCCCCCACACCCCCTCGTCGATCCACCCGACCTGGCCCGCAGCGCGCTGCGGCCAGGATCCAGAGGCACATCCAGCCGCAGCGACGGCCCCCCTACACCCCCCTCCGGACCCCCCCCCCACCTCGAACGAAAAAAACTGACTCGCAAGGCGGCGGAAGCCTGAGGAGGAGGAGGCCTTCGGAGGAGGAGGAGGAGGAGGGGGAGGAGGACGAAGAGGAAGAGGAGGAGGAGGAGGAGGAGGAGGAGGACGCTGAGGAGGAGGAGGAGAGGGGGGGCGGAGGGCGGGAGGAGGGGAGGGCCAGTTTATTCACCGCCGAGAGCTCCAGGGGGAGGGGGGTCAAAACCAAAAACTTCTGGAGGTTCAATGCAGCAGCCACCTCCAGCCTCTCGTCGCCCAGCCGCTGGCAGGAAGGGGCAGCAAAACGCACGGCCCCGCACTCCAGGACGGACACAGTGCGCCACGACCCCCGCGGGGGCTGGCTCGGCCCGCCCACCGGCCGCCTCGGCGCCTCGCACCTCCCTTGGCCTCCGCCTGTGTCTCCTCCTCCTCCTCCTCCTCCTCCTCCTCCCCCTCCTCCTCCTCCTCCTCCTCCTCCTCCTCCTCCTCCTCCTCCTCCTCCTCCTCCTCCTCCTCCTCCTGCTCCTCCTCCTGCTCCTCCTCCTGCTCCTCCTCCTCCGCGCTGCCGCCCCTCCTCAACATCCCCCGGCCCGCCGCCGCCGACCACGCAGGCCCCCCCCCCTCCAAGCGCGCCTGCTCGTTGCACGGGCCGTCGAGGGGACCCTGGTGGGCCACCACCCTGGGCCACCGCTCTTGTTGATCACAGAACGCGGCGCGAAGAAGGAGAGAGGACAGGCGGAGGAGAAGGAGCAGGGCGTGCTGGAGGACGCAGAGCTTGGAGGGAGAAGCGGGAGGAGGAGGTGGAAGAGGAGGACGTGGATGCCAGGCCTGCTCCCAGAAAGAGCTGGAAGTATCAGGAGCCAGGAGGAGATAACTAAGAGAAGGGCCGAACAATCAACGAGGAAGACATTCGCCTCTCCTTTTTCTCCTCCTCCTCCTCCTCTTCTTCCTCCTCCTCCTCCTCCTCCTCCTCCTCCTCCTCCTCATACCCTTCCACCCCTTCCTTCCCCTCTCCTCCTCCTCCTCCTCCTCCTCCTCCTCCTCCTCCTCCTCCTGTGGACCCAGTGTGCCGGCGACGGTCAGGCACCCGCGCTGCGGTCTCAGCATCTGCCCTGCGAGCCCCCCCGATCGGTCCCCTACGGGAGGAGGAATGGGGGCTGGGGAGGGACACCAACGCGACAGGACAGGACATCCGCATAAGGGGGGGAGGGGGGGGGGCGATCCCCCCCCTGTGTGCCCGCGCCGCCGCAGGCGCCGCATCCGCCGCCGCGGATAAACGTTGCAGCTGGGGCGCATCGCCACAGGTTATGGAGAAGCGCCCGACGGTCCACCGCCGCCGCACGGGCCGAGTGAGAGCCTGAGGGCGAAACGACACACAAAACATAAGAAACGGGGGGCACCAGCAGGAGGCCACAAGGTGCAACCTCAAGCTACACGAAGCCTTGCGGCCGTGGTGGCGCCGCATCTGCCCGGGCGCAGCCGCGTTGACGCCGCCCGCCCCCGGGCGGAGCAGAATGAGGGGCCTCCCGTGAAAGTCCGTGGGAGTTCCCCGAGGTCTCTGGGCCCCACGACAGGGAGCCTCCCGAGGCCCCCGGGTGCCAGGCTCCGTAGGGCCCGAGGCGACCAGAAACCTGGCCTCCGTAAAGGCCTCCTTAACGTGGAACGAAGTTAGGG